ATACGCCGATACGTCAAAGCTTGTGCGTTATTTACGTTTACAACTTAAGTTGTCGTAAAATGTTACGGCAGTGCTTGTGCTCAGACCCTAACGCATAAAGCATGTGCATAAGGAATTTGATTGGTCCATTGACTCATGCATAAGAAAATGGACCAATGAAATTCCTTATGCACATGCGTTATGCAAAAGTCTGTGCTCCCCGCTTTAGAACATAAATTAGAAAGAGAGAATAGGTTATAAACAGAGAGCAGAAGTGAGATAGAATATAGTGCCCTGATTGGTTACGCGCCTCGGTCGCGCATGTGCAGTTCATTTTTAGCTACGGTAACATCAAAAATAGTTCCGTTGAACCACCCGACCGGTGCGGACGCGTCTCGGTTCGGGGCAGCGATCATGTAATTTCCAGTGGAACTTTTCACTTTTCACTTTTCACTTAGTGATTTCACGCGAACTTTTCCACGAATATAGTGCGATTATATAACTAATGAGCGGAAAGTGAAATTACCAAAAATGAGAGATAACCTTATTTACCTTGTAAATCACTGATAGATAGTAAATAAAACAAATAAACAAATAAAGCAATAACAATGAATGTTACAAGTAAACAAAAGGAAATGTATATATTATGATGAATAACGTGATAATAGTGAAATGTAAATGTTTACCATTTATACTTATAAAAATCTATATAATCTTAGAAATATCATTAATAAAAAAAAAAGATTGTTTTAAAGAATTGTTTTAAAGACAATCAAAATAATGTCAATTTGACGTCATATTGATATTATTTTGATTGTTTTGTTCTCCTTGGATGATAACTTTAGAAACTAGAAACGTTTCTTGCATCTCAATGTTCTAGTTACTTCGAGTCACTAAACTTTCACCTTCCCGCTATCACATTTGATGGCGGAAAAATTCACGTGAAAAGTTTCACGTTTCAACGTTTCGCCGAGTTCTATGATCATAAGTTCACGTGAAATCTTTCACTTTTCGCCTTTCCGCTCTAGGGGAAAAGTTACATGATCGCTGCCCGGGTGTTCGTTTTTTTTGTATATTTTTGAAAAAGTGTTGCCGACTTTGACCGTGCCTCGAATTTCCTTACTGATGTGTGTCCGCGTTTGGCTCGGCTCGTTCGTCCGTCCGGACGCGCGTTAGAGTGGCGTGACGACGTTGCAATCGCAGGCGCCCGGTGTTCGTTCGGGTTTCGCCATTTTTCGCGGGCATTGCATCATTCTTCGTTTACATATTACGACTTTGTTTCGTTTACACATTACGATTTTTCGTTCCTGGCCTTGACGATTGCCGTTGGATCGGCTACCCGGCCAATTATAATCGACAAGAAGAAGAAGAAGGTAACATCAAAGGTGCCGACAGAGAGTTGCGCTACTGTATATACTGTGCTTTAACTTTATGCTCAGTTTAGTCAGCAACACTCAATACTTTCAAAAATCTACAATTAGAGCACCCGAATCGAAACGCGTCCGTCACGGCCGAGTACTTCTTCAGAATTAGGCGTTTTATTTAATTGATATTGTGATTGTTAATCGCACTCTGTCTTACATAGTCGAAATTGAGCCGATCGAGCACGGAACATATTGGTTTTCCTTAAAATGGCTGTGAAAGAAAGACAAAACGAAACTTTATTCGACGAAATAGAATGGAATGTGGAAAACGAAATTCAACTTTTTTTCGCCATGAACGGACACAAGCCAGTTGGTAAGATGCTAAAGCCGATGACGAGAGGTTATGTTTACATTTGTTTTCTATTTTCGTTTCTTTCAATATAGATTAACTTTAATAATAATTATATATACACGTGTGTGTGTGTGTGTGTGCGTGCGTGCGTGCGTGCGTGCGTGCGTGCGTGTGTGTGTGTGTGTAATGTATCTCGGTTTTTAATTTATTTTCTATCATTTTCTAATTTATAGATTTAAGAAAAGATAAAAAGTAAGTCAAATCAAGATTAAAGTTAATCTACATTAGTAAAAATAGGCATTGAGTGATTTCCACTAACTTTCAATTGATTGACAATTAAATAATTAAATCAAAATATCTAATAGGTTTAACAAGATGATCATTGATTAAGTTAATGAGAGTTTGAGCGAAGTTTATTATTAATAAACAATTATGCTTTGCAATTGTGATTTTTAAGGATTGTTCAATTGTCAGGTATCAATAAGTATTTTCACATGGTATGCATATGGGAGAAATTTCGTGCTGCTATTCACAAAGACATTCCGTTAAAAATAATTTGGGATCACTTGGAATCTATGTATGACCTAATGGCTTTGGTAAGTGACAACATACAAAATAAAATAGAAATATTTGTGAAAACTAAAACATTTTTTTATCAATTTAAGTGTATTAGCTTATTATTTCTATAATGAAATCTGTATCTATATTCTAAAATGAAGTTACATTTAGCAAAGTTTCATAATAAACGAGTTTCTATGAGATTATGAGACTAGAACAATGCATAAGGAAAAATTTCTAAAATCATTTTGAAATAAAAATTCTAATATCAAAGTATATTGAAAGTACTTTTTTAGCATAATAAATATCAGTAATTGTATACAAAATCTTTATATCTATATAAGTATCAATTTAACATTTACTTTTAGCATTTTGGATTGTTCATACTTGAACATATATATTTCAGGTGGTACAATTTGCTAACTTTAAATGCTTATAACTTAAAATTAAAAAAACTTTTAGCTTTGACATTTTGGTATTAAAATTTTCATGTTTCAAATAATCTTTAGAATCACCCCTTAAGTATTGTTCTAATCTTTAAGAGACACTGTATATTCATTTATATACAAATTGAGTTTTTTGATAGGACGATATGGAAGATTTACCTTTTCCCAGTCACGAGATAGATTTTTCCTTACCGGAGACTGAATTTGTGGGAAGGCCACGGAAAAGAGAAGAATTAGAGATAAAACTGAAAGATCAGAGGGATAAATATAAAGAAATTAAAAAAGAAAAAGATATCAAGGAGAGTTCTAAGAAAGATAGCATGCTACGTGATTTTAAAGGAACAAAAGATGTAGAAAAGAAAAAAGAAGAGACAAAAAAATGTATGAAGGAAACAGATATAAAAAAGGATAAATTTAAGGATGTGAAAGAGACAAAGAAAGAACACAAATCATCAAAAGGACGTTCAAAAGGAAAGGAAGATTTAGAAGAGAGTGGTATTTTAACATTTGGTTTTAATTATTTAGTACTTTTTTCCAAGAGTTGCATATATACATAAATTGTATTTTTTGTTTCTTTTAAGCATCGAATGGAAAGAAAGAGCGTAAAGAATCCGAATCTAGTCGTGAGCTTGCAAAAAGGATTTCAAAGAGACCAACCAGACAAAGTGTGGATAGTTCTTCCAAAGCTTCTTCCAGTCCATGTGATACACCTCCGCCAAAACGAAGAAGAATGTAGCAGTTATTGTAAATTAAAAAGACATTGTATGTCTTTTAAGAACTTTGTTATGTAATTTATCATATTATCATTGTACAAGACCAATATTATACTTGTTTATATTTATAGCTAATTGATATTGTATGAGGATAGACTTGAAAATTTCTTATGTTTAAAAAGTTTTATATAAAAGATACATAATTATAATATTATCTATACCGTTTCTAATAACGTAAATGTATATATAGGGAATGTCGATTTTATTTAAAAAAAAAAGTATGTAAATAAAATGCTATAAATATATTGTATTCTTTCTTTTAATAACTTTACTTTTTATATACGATATACTTGATATAGGGGTAAATGTTAAGGACTTCGATCCACTCAAATTTCGATAAAAATATCGATGTGTTTTTACATAAAACGAAAGTATCTGGCAGAAAAAAATGTCGCTCTGTCTCGTGAACGGAGATATTAATCATTAAAGTTCACAACTATTTAGATTAGAAAATCTATCAACCGCAAAGTGAAATACTGCGATGCGAATATGCGCTCTCTACTACAAAGTGCTTTAAAAATAAATTCTGTTCTAAAACATAAATTTAGTGCTTCAACAAATTGTTCTAAAACACAAATGTTAGGAGAATACAGAATTTGTTTTGATCGAAACAGTGAATTTGTGTTTTAGAACAGAAAATTTACTTTTAAAGTACTGATTTTGTAGCAGAGAGCGTATATTCACACATGTGTATTTCGCAGTTGTGATAGATTTCGTAATTTCAATAGTCGTGAACTTTAACGATTAATATCTCAGTTTGTGATGCAGAGCGACGCTTCTTTCTGCCAGATTCTTTCATTTCATGCAAAAACGCATTGATCGAGAATATTATCAAAATTTGAGTGGACTAGAATCTTCTTAACATTTATCAATTATTTTAATTTCAGCATATTTAACAGTTAAAAAAACATTCACAGTTAAAAAAGATATAAATCCTATTCTAACACAAAAGAAAAGCAAACAAAAAACAGAAACACTCAGTTTATAATTTGTCGCTAGAGCTTACGAGCTGATGAGGGAGGAACATAATGACAACACCGTGAAACATGTGGTTACCAGCTGAGATTTATTGTAAAAGGCGTGAAATTCTTATACGTCAGGAATGTTTCCAAGAAAATGTGATCCCGTTCCGCGATCGGTAACATCCTCTCGCAAAGCACATGGCAGGTATCCGTTGTCGACGACCCCCGATCTATGATCCTTGATTCATAATCCACATGTAGGGGAATCCAAGTTCAGGAAATGCGTATCTGTTGAAGTCCGGTAGTAGTAGCGGCTGGCAACCGTTCATTTTTTTCGGCGTTAATAAAACCATACATTATCGAAGTCTTCTCGCTTCGCGCTCGGACTCGAGCAAGGTTAGGAGGTCGCCTTCTCGTACCGGTCCCTTCACATTCCTGATGATCTGCCGATTTTGCTCACCCAGAAATTCTACTTTCACCTGGGTGCACTGCCCCTGCGAGCCAGTGCGACCCAGGACCTTGATGACGCGCGCCAAAACCACTGGTTTATCCATGATTGTCTCTTTCTCACGTGGGTGTATCCCAAAAGAGATATCTGACGCAAATGGAATGAAATACAAGAAGCACGTGAAGACGAACCGCTTTGGCGCTTTTCTCTGCTCAATTTCTAAAGCCTTGTGTCCACGATGCTAGAACTTGTCCGACTTCTAGCATCGTGTCCACAAGGCTTAAGGCTGTGTTCATAAAGTTTAAAGCGGGGAGCACAGACTTTTGCATAACGCATAAAGCATGTGCATAAGGAATTTCATTGGCCCATTTTCTTATGCATGAGTCAATGGACCAATCAAATTCTTTATGTATATGGTTTATGCGTTATGCAAAAGTCTGTGCTCCCCGCTTAAGACCGCAGCACACACTTTTGCATAACGCATAAAGCATGTGCATAAGGAATTTTATTGGCCCATTTTCTTGTGCATGAGTCAGTGGACCAATCAAATTCTTTATGTATATGGTTTATGCGTTATGCAAAAGTGTGTGCTGCGGCCTTAGAGCCCCAACACACACTTTTGCATAACGCATAAAGCATGTGCATAAGGAATTTCATTGGTCCATTTTCTTATGCATGAGTCAATGAACCAATCAAATTCTTTGGCCCGTATTCAGAACGCACTTTTATCGATAAAAGCGCGCTTTTATCTCTGAAATTCTATAGTATACGTGACGTAAATTATAGCATATTAGTGCGCAAACTTCGTTGTTAGCGCGTTCTGAATACGGGCCTTTATGTATATGGTTTATGCGAAGGCTGGCTTTTTATACGACGCTCGACGCTCATTTTCAGCGTCAAAACAGATCTCGTGATAAAAATTGACGAATAGCAAGCGTTTCTAGTGTTTCTCGCTTAAAGGCCGCAGCACACACTTTTACATGACGCATAATGTATGACGCATAAGAGAATCAACCAATCAAATTCCCAGATAGCAAGTTGCTTGTAAGTTGCTGTCAGATTGCTTGAAATTGCTTTGCTGTAATTGTTTTCAATATTGAGGAAAGAGGCTTCCGATTTTGCCTAGTGGATTGCCGATTTTTATTGCCACCAACAGTTAAGGCCATCACACGTATGTACAAAAATTTTAGTAGTAATCGTTAGAGTCCTAGATATCAAAGAAGCGCAACCGATGTTCCGCGTCCTGATTAGCTGACTGTCAGCCAATCATGACATTCATTCAATGGTATTAAAATGGCTGACTAATAGACGATTGGTGGATTTCATATTTCGTCTGTAAACGACGCCATTTTTAATACTTTTCTTAGTAATTTTGCGATACTGACTTAAGCCGGTTGCGCTTCTCTGATATCTAGGACTCTACGTTCAGCAGACTCAACAGTTTTGCAACTGTTTTATGATTCGTCTCGCTGATTGGATTATATTTCTAGATCTAAAGGAATAGTCCTATCTCAGCGAAGAATCATAAAACAGTTGTAAAATTATTAAATCTGCTGAACGCAACCTTTTTAAAGGAAACCGTTAACGATATGCGTGGTCTACAATGGCAGTAGCAGTAGTGGATGAGACTATAAAAGTAAGAAATTGACCAATCACAGTCGAATGTGAAAAGAATAATCGACCGTGATTGGACAATTTCTTACTCTTACAGTCTCATTCACTACTACCACAGTATATACAGTAGCGCAACTCTCCTGATTTTGTGAAGCCTAAAATGGATAACCAATCAGGGCACTGTATTCTATCTCACTTCTTCTTCCTATTGTCGGCGTCAGCCCCATTGAAATGTCCATATAAGGCATTTAAAGGACCATTTAACGGAAAGTGGCGGGAACGCGACGAATTTTATGTAAGAAGTACTACGTGTGATAAAGTGATAAGTGATACGTGTTTAATTATAATAATTATTCAGTGTATTCAGGCGTATTTAAGAAAGTGTAAAAAAACAGAGAACGTAGACCGAATTAGCTTTACGGAGAATAGGTTATCTGTACAAAATAATCGTCATTTTAAATAAAAAAAGTTAAATTACAAAATTATGAGAGAGAGAGAGAGAGAGAGAGAGAGAGAGAGAGAGAGAGAGTGTGTGTGTATTCTCGCATTTCCTAATATCTGCGGTTACTATATTCAATGTGAAAAAAATATAATAAATATAAGTAATTTTATTCGAGCCATATGATATTTCAAAATATGAAATACCACATTAATTATATATTCAAGCAAAACAAGTCATCATTGTATCAAAATGATGTTAAAATTATTCCAAAATGATCAATAAAAGTCATTTTTCAATCATTTTAATGTCATTTTGACTTTATTGTGACTTCCTGTTCTAATTCCGTATATATACAAGATATATGCTATACATATACAATATTGCTGTACAATTAGTTAATAATAATATATTTTGTGGGTATATTTAATTGCAAAATATAGTGTTAAGAAATAAATGTGCATCATATAATGTTTAATTTTTATTTCATTTTCTCTTTCAAATGCGTCTCGTTTTTTACTGTGAGTACTAAAGATCTATATAGTGTAAACGAGAACTATAGATTCTCTGTATTCGCTGTGAATAATGGAATAAATTAAGATAATTTTATAAAAGTTACTTGTTAGTACGCGTATTAAAGTATTGTCCGTTTTGTCTCTCGGGAGCTGCTCGGAGTCGCTCTGAATAAACCCAGCGTACTTGGATGTGATCCATTTAATGCTGCAAATGCTTCGTTGATCAATCAGAAGAAAAAATTTTATGAATTGATCAATCAAAGTATGTTTCGAGGTATTTACAGCATTAAATAGACCACATCCAAGTACGCTAGGTTCGTTCGGAGCAACTCTGAGCAGCTCCCGAGAGACAAAACGAACAATACTTAAATGTTCAAATGTGCAAATTAGGTTAGGACATTGCTAGAACAAATTAGAAAGAGAGAAAAGGTTATAAACAGAGAGCAGAAGTGAGATAGAATAGAGTGCCCTGATTGGTAACGCGCCTCGCTCGCGCATGTGCAGTTCATTTTTGGCTACGGTAACATCAAAGGTGCCGACGAAGAGTTGCGCTACTGTATATACTGTGTTATTGGTCAAGAGCACTTATGGCACATTCGATACATATGCACCTTAGAACATATAGTATTGGAAGGAGCATAGTCTCTCGAAAGTGAAGGCGAGTAGATTGACAGAGAGGAATAGATTAAGATCGTAGTTGGTAATGCGCATGACTGTAGGGAGGGAATGCGCGCGCAAGCGAATTATACACAGCTGTCAGCTGCAGTGTACATTTGATATATGAATTTAAGGTTAAAGGCTAATAAATTTCAATTAAGAAAACTGAAAATTGCGGCGATTCTTTTGATGAGTTATCAGAACATCATCATAGAGAGTAACATTTTGATTTATTAGAAAGTTGCATATTTCATTTATACAAGTGATTAATTATACTGGAATTAACTTTCTTGCACTGCACTGTTGTATGTAAATATTTGGATAACTACATCTATTTGTAGCTTGTGCTAAGCATGTTAGAATTGTATGACAACAAAATACATTAATATGAATTAGATCTGAGTCTTTCGGAAACCTATAATAATAACACATAATTAAGTCAAAAGTATAAATACTTCATTTCGAAGATGGACTCAAATGCGAAGTATTGACATACTTATTATGACTTATTTACAATAATTAAAGAGTAATTACGAAAACTAACCTCAAAACTAACATTATAAATTCCGTATATTAATACTATACTCACAAATAATTAAACTTACAAGTGATATGAAGACGCCTGATTTTCTTCTTTGCAAATATAGCAATACATTGCCACAAATCACTTATAATTTTCAAAGAACCAAACAGAACCGAACACAGTTCGCAAATAATTAACGTGCTCTCTAGTCTAGTATCCACGGTGGATAATCCACCGCGCACGCGTATGGAGTATGCGCATTACAATCTACGATCTTAATCTCTCCATCCTTGTCAATCTTCTCGGCTTCAACCGAATGTGTACAGGGACCATATGCCTATGCTCCTTCCAGTACTATATGTTCTAAGATATGCACTGACACGGTGCTGCCCTGACACGGTGCTGCCCTGACACGGTGCTGCCCTGATAGGATGCTGCCCTGACACGGTGCGAGTGCAAAACTACACTAATTAATAATTTAATTAATAATTTAATTTTTAATTAATAATAATAATT